CCATCGCCCGGCTTGCCACAGGTTTGCCTGCTGTGTCTAAAAGTAGCAGCAGCAGCAACCCAGACTGACAGCTCATTGGCTAATCTGCATCACGTGCAGCCTCCGGAAGGCTTTACCGTATTAACAAGTGAAGTTAGACACTGCTGTCGGACAACATGCGGTAATTTATAAATGTTTTAAATCAAGCTGGGTCCAGATTAGCCAGCAGGCGGGTCCGACCACGGTCCGCTAATCTGTGACCTCTGGCCTAAAGGTTCATTACTTGATGCTTCATTTATTGCTCACTATTGAGCAGCACCCACACTATGACAGCCTCCATATTGTAAAAAAAAAACAGAAAACAACAATGAGTGCAATATTGTCAAAATAAAGTTTGTTGTTACATGCCTGTGTCATTACTTTTAAGTTATTAGAATGATTTATACCAAAAATAATTCTTTTAAAGGGTAGACTTTCTAAGGCATTTGTTTTAGTTGATGTCTTGGACTGACTTTCTGTGACTTCTTGAGATCCTCTATAGTTCATTCTTCCAACAGCATTCAGTCTTTTTCTCCTGTGTGAGACTAAGAGATTGCTGATCCAACAACTTTATTTGTTTGATCACCGCCATCAGACTGTTGAACTGTTGAGAATACTCTAAATCATGTCAAAGACTCTGCATCAAACTGACCATATCAATGTGTTATTTCCACCATGTTTTTCCACCCACAATATTTAGATTTGATCACTGTAGTACTTTAAGGCAATGGAAATGTCATGAGATCTGTACAAAACTAAACAAACTTTGTATACATAAAATGACAAATATTTTCTAATTCATTACTGTAGACAGCACAACACAGACAAACTAACATGTAAAAAGACACAAAGTAAGTGCTAGTGATGAAATCACCATCAGTTAGAATGCAAACATACTTTATTAAACCTTGTTTTGAGCTGTAATTTAAAGATCTTCATTTCTTTTGATTCTCCGTTATTCTCTGAGATAAATCTGTTATCATACTCTCAGATGGTTTATCTGCTGATACACGACAAAACTAGCTACAACAACCCACGGAACAGCATGTTTAATAGCACTTTTATTTTTAAATCCGACACATGAAATGAAGCAATGACATGATAAGAGTAATGTGATTCATCTGCTGATATCTAATTTAGCGGATGCATCCTCCGAAAGGCCGGATTCGTAGGCCGATTACATCATAACGCGGCGCCAAGGTCTGTTCTATTTGCAAGACTTCTCATTATGCACATACCTCTAAAACCCTTAAACCTAGATGCCTCATTGGATGCTGGCCGATGTACCTAGTGGGCGGTCATCTTGGATCGGACCACAGTTCGGACAGCTGCTGTCAGAATGAATAGGTGGCACCTTAGATCTAATTTTCATCACATGAAAGACGAGTCAGAGATAATGTTAAAATAATCTCTAACATGTCACAACCCCTTAGAACAGCGGTCCCCAACCTTTTTTGCACCACGGACCGCTATACGTCAGAGAAAATGACAGACGAAGTGTGCTCCTGATGTCCAGTCTGCTCCGTAGCTTTGTTTTGGTCGCTGTAACCGCAGAAAATCCCGCTTCACAAAGACAGGATGTTATAGATAGAGTCTGGAACTGAATTAACCTGTGTCAAGAGGCACAGATGCACCGACTGATGTAACTGGGAGAGAATACCGCAATTTTTT